ACTACCTCCCTCTAACTCCTAACCCTGATTCTAACCTTAACATTAATGGTCTGTTAGAAATTCTGCTGCGCCGCAAATTTCCTCCTGTTAATAATAATACCAACCATGAATTGAATGCGAATATCCAAATAGTAAAACTTTGAAAATACTCCAGTATTGTTTGACAACACATATTTTGTTATTATAGTGATCAACTAATAAGCAATTGCATTTTATTTATTTTTAGCTATAGATGGCGTTAGAATTCAAAAATGAAAATTTCAACAATGAAAGTGAATAGTAATCATTGTTATAATTTCTATTCTTGAATTTTACCATTATCTAAATTAATAGCAGTTACATTTGGTTAGCATTTATTTGTAAATAAATGTTTTTCGCTTCAGACTCCTGATTTCTCAGTAATAGAGGTATGTATATTGTAAAATGACGCAGTACAGTCTTCAGTAAAATTGCTTGAGGAAAACTTTTTGTTATTAAGACATAAAAGGTTATTTTTTAAGCATAACCTTTTTTTATCATATACAAAAGGTTATTTCTTAAGCATATTTGCGATTTTTGACAAAGCGAAAATTTAATTTTTCTGATCGTGTTAATAAAATCACGTGATCGTGACATTTTATATATGCTGTGGAAATTTCACTTTAGACACCCCAAACAAGGAATTTAATTATTCGCTAAATTTGTGATGATCTGACGTTTATCATAAATTAATCAACAAAAAAAATTTTTAAACTTCTGATCAGTAAAAACACCCTAATCCATCTTTGATTCGGTCTAAGTAGCAGTCAAATTATTCAGCCCATTGGATATTTATAAATTTGCAAGTATGGTTATACAAATAATTAAAGAAAACATGGATAATAATTTAATTATTATTGTTTATACATTTGCTTATATTATTATTTTCACGTTTAATTAGCTGTAGCTTTTTCATTATATTGGAATCTTTATCTGGGTTATATATCAATTAATTCTTACGACTTTCAGGTATTATTTCCGTTTGATCAAATTTTCCAAATAAAAAAAGAGAATTAAAAATTATCAATTTTATAGGAAAATGCAATTGCCAGCTGTCTTACAGTCTCTCAATGGTGATACTAAAAGATGTATCATAGAATGGTCGAATATTGTTCAAGCAAAATACAGTTCTGATGATGTTGACAGCGATGATGATGATAATATAACTTATTATGGAGATTCTCTTCTCATAATTGAATGGAATGAAATAGGACTTATTCAACGAAATATTCAAAAAAATACTGTGGTGAATTGTATGTATATTAATTATTGTAATTTATATTAATTGAGAAGACTTTTAACAAATAATATTTTGTTCTACAGATATTTGTACATTTCAAGGTTGTAATCCTTTTCCAGGTGCTAGTCTACCTCCATCGGATTCTCTTTTCTATATTGTTGATATGCAAAATATTCTTGCCCAACAAATAATTAGTAACATATTGTATGGATTAAAACAAATGTACTTGCACAGAAATGTATCTTCTTTAGGAAGAGTCTATACCTTATTTGCGGATGGAAAAGATAAATTTAAAGCTGCTAAAATTTTTGGCATTTTTTCCTTGTAATTTGCATGTAAATTTTAATATTACATATAAAATTTGTAAGCACGATATTGTTCATGTGAAATCATAAAATTTTTCAATAATAAAATCCTTTTTTTACTATCATCTGTTAGGCAAGCCTTTTCATCGCATTTTACCATTTCAGTTTAAAAGAAAAGAAATGCGAATATTCAGAATTTAAAGTTTTACAAATATATTATTGCATTATAAATTAATGATATAAAAAGATTGTTTTTATATATAATTATGTAAAATATTCACTAAGCTTTATAAAATTTTTATGTCTGCAAATTTGTATAATTTAATATTTTTGTTAAAAATAATTTTATTAGTTTAAAATCATGAACGAAATTCTGATGTAAATCAATTGCCCGGGTAACTTATTTATATACTTTTTTAGAACTCAAGTGTTACATACTAAAAAACGAAAAATTTTGCAAAACGAGACTGCCTTTAAAATTAATCTCTAATAATCTCTAGTTTAAGTAGCATTGACTTTTTGAAATGGCAAAAAAAAAATTTAATTTTAAAGTACTTTTTCAAAACATAAAATGTAAAATTTTTTGATTATATTGATCGTGGTCAGTGGCTTATTTTAATCAATTATTAATTGTCGCAGATAAAATTGGGGACGTCTCATGCTCATCTTTAGAGTCTATAAAACCCATATATACTCATTTATTAATAAACCTAACCCTAAATCCTATCCCTAATGCTGAAAAGAACTCCAAAAAATGTCTCCAAAAATTTTTAAATTTTCCTTAAAAAGTGGAAAAATTTTTTGTTTTGATCAGATTTCATTTTAATCTGTGACAATTATTTATACATACCATTGTTCAAATTCATGCATATGTTTAAAATTATATGTAATAGTAAAAGCCAAAAAATTAATTTTTATTAAAAGTATGATTTAATTTAATAAATTAATTACAGTTATATCTCCTTAAATGCAAATGCCCTAAATATATCTTTTGAAATAAAACTATTAACATATATATTAAACTTCCGTAAATGCAATTTTTTTATTGTTTTTTAAATGCAAACTATTAAAAATCTGGTTCTTACAAGTTGCATTTAGAAAGATTTGACAGTACAATTGCTCATTAAACCAATTAAATCTAATTTAATATACCAAAATAAACTGTATTAAAATAATCCAATTAAAACTAATTTAATACTCTAAACCAATGCTATAATAAAAATTAAGTCTAGTTTGATATGCCAAATAACCTAGCTAAATAAGTTTATTAAACTATCCAGGTCATAATGGTATATCAAATTAGAATAATCAAATTGAACCTAATTCAACATATCAAAATAACCTGGCTAAAACAATATAACAGTCATTCATAAATGCAACCATTATATTTTATTATAAAATTCTAAATGCAGATTCCACCTAAAATTATGTCAATTTTTGAGCAGTTTGTTGTTGATATTCTAGCATTTTTGAAATGATAATCATATAATCACATGGGCTAGTACCGGAAAAAGGTCCAAATTGACAATTTTTTCAAAATAAATTTTTTCAAGCTTTAATTTAAAATTAGCTCAAAACCATTTTTCACTTAATAAAATTTTACAGTATAATCTTTTGACATCTGTATTTTCATATAGATTTTATTATATAAAATTTAAATTACTCAAGACTTATTTTTGTATTTTTGTCAATTTGTCCCTTTTTCCAGCACTCACATAATATATTGAAGCCTAATATGCGCGATGAACAAATTAAAAAATTTATGCCATATATTTTTTGTTCTAAAAAATCATAATTCCTGAAAAATACATGAAATTTTTATCTATAATAAATTCAGACATTTGGAGTAAAGAAAATTCAAATGAATGAAACAACTCATATGTATATAAGCCAGCATAGTTATATATAGAACCTCTAAATTTTTTGAAAGCAAACTCGAACATTCATTTAAAGTAAAATATTAAATTAGCATAAAATCTATAATCAAAAAATAAAGAAAACCTTTACAAAGTTACAGTAATAAATATAGCCTCTGTGGTTACTTTTACTATTAATATAACAAATAGTCATCGTTTTCCAAATAAACTGGTTTATATTCCAGAGATTTCAACCTAATAAGAATTTGTTCGGTTACCGATCATTTAGAAGGATCTTCATGCCAACATTCAGAATATAATTCAATATATTGAAAGGGAGTTTCATTTATGTGCTTCTCTCGCAAGCCTTGGGAGATTTGTAACAAAAGTGAGACTGGATCTATTTCTTTAAAAGGGATTTTGCAGCTTGAAAGTTCCCAAAGAAGGACGCCAATACTGTAAATGTCTGATTTTTCATCCAAAACGTAGCTTGCATTGAGAAATTTTTTGGGGTCAATATAGGGAATCATCCCAACAACTTTATTACTAGTTGACATTATACTATTTAGATTTTTTGATAAGCCAAAATTAGCAATTTTTATGCTTTCATGATGGATGAGTATGTTTTTTGAATGCTAAGAAAGTTTATATCACCTATAAGATTCAAGTAAAGTTCAAGTAACTTTTAAATAACTTATTTTTAGAATCATGCATACCAAATCACGATGAGTAATTTTCTTATTGTGTAGATATAACATTCCTTCAACTATTTGTACTGCTAATTCAACTTTTTTTCCCCAAGAAAGTATAGCGGATTTCAAATATTGCCGTAAAGTTCCATCATTTGCATATTCCATTAAAAGGTAGTAAGCTCCACGATTACGATCTTTATGAATTATGGCTAGATATTAATAAAGCATACATTTATATGAAAAAAGAATATAAAGTCACTAACCATTACTTATTCCATAAAATTTAATAATTTGTGGATGAGAAACTTGACTATGTAATTTTAACTAATTAAGCGTTATAAAGTGTTGAAAATTATAGTTTAAAAAATTTTTTGCGATTTATATACTTAATTAATCTCTTCACTAAACCATAACTACACATACCTCGTTAAGAAACATTTTAATTCCTTTTTCATCATTGTCTTCTGAGATTAATATTTCCTTTACGGCAACCTTTTCACTCGGTATTGAGTTACAAGAGGTACAGTAAACATTTCCAGATACACCACGATTTACATAGTTCGGTTTTCCCAAATCGGCAAAAGCTATTTCTTTTAGATTATATTTATCAACTGCAATTTGAAAACAATTTTTGGTATCAATTGTCAACAGTTGTTGTGTCGTTATTTCTGTTTGTATTTGATTGTGGAATTATTTATTATATTAGATTCTATAAAATGTAATAAAAAGTAATACTTATGTGATTGATAAGATCATAATACTCTTGTCCTGATTGAATCGCAGCTCTATTAGTTGTAAATAAGCTGTTATTAATAAAAATAATCATATTTTTTAAGATTCATACAGAAAGATAGCTAACCTATTGAATTTGAATCTTGAATGGAAACATCACTATTGCTCATCCCATTAAACTCGGTTGTAGAATCTATCCTATTATGACTTAAAATATCCATATTGGTATTTTGATTATTATAATAAACAGGTTCCATTCTGATATTATTTAATTTGTGAAGGATTTCAACTATGCTAGGACGTAAATTTGGATCGCCATTCCAAGCATCGCAATAAATGTTCATAAAATCAATCGGAGTTTTGTTA